GGTATTCAACTAAATTGACAAAATATGCGAAGTATTGACACTTAACTATCTAAACTGTAGATCACTCTTCTACGCAAGCTCGCTTAGAGCTTATAAAATTATTTATGAAAATAATTGAATTCTTACTAAGAATTTTATTGAAATTTTTGAGAATAATTAAATTCCTGCGAAGAATTTTAATATTTTTGAAGAAAATTGAATTTTCTCTAAGAATTGTATCAAACTTTTTGAAAATAATTGAATTTATACGACAAATTTTGATACTTATGAAGATAATTGAATTTTCGACCAGAATTTGTTCCAAAAAAAGTGCTCATTTAAAAATTGACAACTGCTAGCACTAGTTACAAACGATATTTTTCATGTGAAAAATTAATTTTTATTTTTAGACAAATATATTAACCTATTCAACGCGATTGCTCGTAGTTTTGTAATTTGGATAATTTATAATAGTTTATTTTACAATATCGACAAAGTCGTTTCCCCTCATTCTGCGTTTTACGACTAAAAATACGGAAATGAAAAATATATATCATGGAATCTTTGATGTTACCACATCAAAGTTAGCAAATGAGGTTCACGTCTGTCTGCGCAGATTTGAGCGTATCTCCTCCGGGATTTAAGTCCAGACTTGCAGTAAGCAAATTCGTTAAATCAAAGTAAAGTAATCTACTGTAGCTGTAAATGCTTCAACACAAAATTATGTCAATTTTCAAAACCAATGAAATTATTTTGCAACTAACTTTTTTTTACATATTTTATTTATTTGATATTCTATCCAATTTAACGTTCAATATACTCTCTAAATTTTAATAAATTATTCACACGAAAAAAATATTAAGAAAATTTCATTATTTTCTTTATTTACGTTTAGATTTAACAAATTTTTGTATTTTTAATTTCGTAATTAATTAAATAATTCCGCCGTACTTTATATTAATTCTTTCTTTCTTTTATTTATTTTTCAGGGTTGCCGCACAAACATTTTATTTTATTTTTCCCTGATTTTCAGACAAAATTATTGTGACTTTTTCCTTGACCGCAAAGAATATTTTTATTTCACTCTAAAAATAATTGTAGACACTGAAATGGTATTTCAATAGTCAAAATTAAAATTATAAAAAATTATTTAAATAAAAATAAATTATAAAACAAGTATTTAATGAAAATATGAAATTAAAGATAATTTACACAATAAGAAATATAATTTCAGTTAAATTTAAAGTATATGAAATTCAAAATAAGGTCAATAGAGTACAAACGTACTGAGACACACAACTACATATGAAAAAGGCCCAGCCGATTCAAGGCCAAGGTTAAGAAAGAGAAAAGAAAATTTAATATTTCAGATGTTTAAAATTACACTGTAAAAACAAAGTCTTCCTTTAAGCCCGAAATTTGTCTTTTTTCAAGGTGTAAACGGAAGTAGACCATATTGGCTGAATGTCAGTAATGATTAGAAGTTTAAGAAGAATACTCCCCAATTGATACAAGTGAGGTGTTAAATGAACTGAAATTCAACTGTAAGCTAGTAAGAACCCACATAGCACAATAGTATGAGGTAAGGTTATGTTGAGTACTAATCGTAAGGCACATAAGGTTACACAATATTGCTGCGGTAGACCTGAGGTGAACTAAAAACTTCCGCCATGGAGGTAAGGTTACATGTTAGGGTGTGGTGAGTATATATGATAAGGCCATGGTAACCTTACACGTTAAGGTTAAGGTAACCTTACACGTTAAGGTTGATGTAACCTTACACGTTAAGGTTGAGGTAACGTTACATGTTAAGGTTGAGGTAAGGTTACATGTCAAGGTTGAGGTAAGGTAATTATTAAGTTGTAAGGTTGAGGTAAGGTTAAGGTAAGGTTGTGATAAATTTACCAGTTATGGAAAATATTAAAAAAATAATTAATAAATAAATATTCAATTAAAAAGTTAGTTTGTTGCTCTTCTCTATTTTGGAAACCTGACATGAAGCAGAAAATTTTGAAAACAAATTTGGGGGGACTGGGATTCGAACCCGGGATCGACGCGCATAAACCTATCATTCTAACTAACTGAGCTAAGTAGAGAACTGGCAGAAGGAAAATTAATGTTGCCTTTAAGGTGAACCAAGAAGATGATTAACTCCTTAAAGGCAATATTAATTTTCCTTCTACCAGTTCTCTACTTAGCTCAGTTAGTTAGAATGATAGGTTTATGCGCGTCGATCCCGGGTTCAAATCCCAGTCCCCCCAAATTTGTTTTCAAAATTTTCTGCTTCATATCAGGTTTCCAAAATAGAGAGGAGCAACAAACTAACTTTTTAATTGAATATTTATTTATTAATTATTTTTTCAATATTTTCCATAACTGGTAAATTTATCACAACCTTACCTTAACCTTACCTCAACCTTACAACTTAATAATTACCTTACCTCAACCTTGACATGTAACCTTACCTCAACCTTAACATGTAACGTTACCTCAACCTTAACGTGTAAGGTTACATCAACCTTAACGTGTAAGGTTACCTTAACCTTAACGTGTAAGGTTACCATGGCCTTATCATATATACTCACCACACCCTAACATGTAACCTTACCTCCATGGCGGAAGTTTTTAGTTCACCTCAGGTCTACCGCAGCAATATTGTGTAACCTTATGTGCCTTACGATTAGTACTCAACATAACCTTACCTCATACTATTGTGCTATGTGGGAAGGCTAAAATTTAGTCAAACCATCTAGCTAAATTTCAGCCTTCTTACAAGCTTACAGTTGAATTTCAGTTTATTTAACACCTTACTTGTATCAATTGGGGAGTCTTCCGTTTACACCTTGAAAAAAGACAAATTTCGAGCTTAAAGGCGGTGTCAAAGTCGATGCGATTTTTCCATTGAAGTTCAATGCAAAAATCCAATCGACTTTGACACCGCCTTAACCCATTAACGCCTGAAACCTTTGAAATTTTGTGTTTAATTTAAGATATAATTTTATATATTAAACATGCTCCCTAAAAATAACTGAAGCGTTTCTTTATGTTTTCGGGGTCGCTCTACAAGATTCCATGCTCAGATTTTAAATTTATCGCATAGAAAATTAAATATGGCGAATTTTGTGCACCAAATTGCGAAAAAAATGAATTTTTTTTTTTTAAATAATTATTTCTTACTAAAAACATTTTTTTCAAATGAATACAAGTGTCACAAATTGGCACAAACTTATTAAACTTTCAAAATATGCAATAGCGGAAACAAAAAAAACAAAATGGCGGCTTCAAAATGGCGCTAATTTGAGAAAAAATTAATTAATTTTTTTTATAGTGCACCGATTCAGGCAATAGCTATGAAATGTAATAGAACTTAGTGTTTATATGTTTTTGAGGTCTCTCATCACGAATATGTACTCGGATTTTCAAAATTCAAAATGGCGGATCCAATATGGCCGACGAAAATTTTAAAAATTTACTCGATTCGCTTGAATTTTGTTACTCAGGGGTTTTTGAGGTCGCTGATTGTGAATCTGCAATCGGATTTTCAAAATTCAAAATGGCGGATCCAATATGGCCGACGAACATTGTAAAAATTCACTCTATTCGCTTGAACTTTGTTACTCAGGGGTTTTTGGGGTCGCTGATTATGAATCTGCTATTGGATTTTCAAAATACAAAATGGCGGATCCAATATAGCCGATAAAAATTGTTTAAATCAATTCTAGTCGCTTGGAATTTGTAAAATGATGACCATCTATTTGCCGTCAGAATAAGGCAAAATACAAATCAAATCCCTCAGAAGTACACAACGAAAAAATTGTAGGTCTAAATCTAATTGGCTTAGATAAATTGTTTCAACACTATCTTAGCATAAGACTTAATATTGCAAAACTTATAACCTGACATTGTTAATGAAACAATTTGAGATGACAGATAAGGAGTAGTTGACCAATATTATCGAATTTTAGCTTTAATATCATTAGAATAAACTTTTTCATTCATGATCCAGTGATATTGATTATAATTTTCAAACTTACTTTGCTTATCTGTATAGTTTTAATACACATTCGCAAAACTTATTTTATTAATAAAATCGTTGTAATTAGAAATATTCTCTTCTTCTTCAGATTCCTCATTATCAATATCTAAATCATCGTCGAAATCATCTTCATTAGAAAGTATAACCAAATCTTCACAATCTTTATCAAAATCATGTAATTCAAATTATATTTCAGGAGAAGCGTTTGTAAAAACGTATCCGTTTGTCACTGAATTTTCAGATTCAAATTTTTTTATTTTTGGCATTTTACATGAATCCTTAGCAACTTCATTGCAATGAACTTGCTGAGGATTAATACAAAACTGTGATCGTCTTTGCTTTCCGTAAATTAATTTTTTGTTATTTGGTAACCTAGCAATACATGGCAAACAAATGAATATCTTAGTTGTGTCATTTTTTTCATAAGAGGAGATATTCTTGAATTCAACATTATTATTTATACCTCTGTACTTTTAGCTGTATTTTATTCTTAAGAAAATACAATGCCAAAAAGAAAACAAATTGAATCTGAAAATTCAGTGACTAAACGGAAACGTTCTAAAACTGCTTCTCGTGAAATACAATTGGAATTACATGATTCTGATGAAGATTGTGACGATTTGGTTATGCTTCCTAATGCAGAAGATTCAGATATTGATAATGAAGAATCTGAAGACGAAGAGAGTATTTCTAATGACAATGACTTTATTACTAAAATGAGTTATGCGAATGTGTATAAAAACTATACAGATAAACAAAGTAAGTTGGAAAATGATCATCAATATCAGTGGATCAGTGGTGAAAAAGTTTATTCTGATGAAATTGAAGATAAAATTCTATTATCTGAAAGAGATAAAAAAAAATTATTGAAAGTTCACCTGTTCAACTTTTTGAAACGTTTTTCTCTGAGGAAATAAAAAATTATATTATTTCATCAACAAAGGAGAATGGATATGATCTCAATTTACACGATTTGAATACATTCATGGGGATTATAATTTACTCCTCGTTCAATAAAAGGAAGTCACAACGAGACTATTGGTCAACTGATCCTTATCTATCATCTCAAATTGTTTCGTCAGCAATGTCACGTGATAAGTTTGAAAGTATAAAGTCGAAAGTTAAGTACTCGAAATTAAAAGACAATCATCCTAATGATAGAGGATGGAGAGTTCGTGCTGTAATGAAATTGTTTCAAAAGAATATACTTTTATTCGGATATTTTCGAACTGCTTTATCCATCGACGAAATGATGGTCAAGTCGTATGCTAGGACAGTGTTAAAACAATTCATCAAAGGTAAGCCAATTAGATTTGGACTAAAAATATTTTCGTTGTGTACTTCCGATGGATTTGTTTTATATTTTGATCTTTACTGCGGAAAAAACAGTGCAATTGGCGATAGGGTTTTAAATAAATGCGCAATGGGTTCTCAAGTGGTAATGTATTTATTGAAGGATTTCCTGCATAAAACAACTCTCAGAAATATAAGTTTATACCACTTGTATTTTGACAATTTTTTCACTAGCTTTGATCTGGTTTTGCATCTAAAAAAGAGAGGGTTACAGTCAACTGGTACAATTAGAGAGAATCGAATCAAAAAAGATGATAAGATAGTATTTGATAAGAAAGCTACTAGAGGAACATATGCTGTGAAAAATGACAAGAAGAGTGGTATAAATTATATTTCAATCATCGATTCAAAGCAGGTATCAGTAGCATCAAGTACTGCTGGCGTAACTTCATTGCTACCTTGTAGACGATATAGTTCTGAAGAACATTCCAAGGTTGAGATTCCTTTTCCAAGGGCAATTCACTTGTATAATAAATACATGGGAGGTGTCGATATTCACGACATGCATTGCAACAATTTACTCCCATGTATTAGAGCTAAAAAGTGGACATGGGTTATTTTTGTGCTATTGATACAAGCAGCTATCACAAATTCGGTGGTTTTGTTTAATGCAGCCAATAATGAAAATAAAAAGGAAGGTACGAAAGCATTTGCGCTAAGCATCAGCAAGTACTACTTAGATGCAGCAATCAAAAATCGAAAAAAACCTCATGAATCTAAAAGAATAGATAAACAAGCTAAATGCTCATCTTGCAGTATAAAAACTTACAAATTTTGCTCCGATTGCAATTTGTACTTTTGTAAAGTTTGTTTCCCTCAAAGCCATTAAGGTTTCCCGAATTGCATGAACATAGAAATAATAATTAATCATCGTTCAAATATTATTGCTATTTTTAAATATAAACGTTATAAAATAAAAAATTAAAAAAAGAAAAAAAATTAAAAACTTAAAAATTAAAAAACAAAAATTAAAAAAAATAAAAATTAAAAAAAAAATATGACTCTTAAGGCCATCAACCTCCACGTGGTGAGAGTTGGTAAACGTCTTATTCTGACGGCAAATAGATGGTCATCATTTTACAAATTCCAAGCGACTAGAATTGATTTAAACAATTTTTATCGGCTATATTGGATCCGCCATTTTGTATTTTGAAAATCCAATAGCAGATTCATAATCAGCGACCCCAAAAACCCCTGAGTAACAAGTTTCAAGCGAATCTAGTAAATTTAAATAATTTTTGTCGGCCATATTGGATCCGCCATTTTGTATTATGAAAATCCAATAGCAGATTCATAATCAGCGACCCCAAAAACCCCTGAGTAACAAAGTTCAAGCGAATAGAGTGAATTTTTACAATGTTCGTCGGCCATATTGGATCCGCCATTTTGAATTTTGAAAATCCGATTGCAGATTCACAATCAGCGACCTCAAAAACCCCTGAGTAACAAAATTCAAGCGAATCGAGTAAATTTTTAAAATTTTCGTCGGCCATATTGGATCCGCCATTTTGAATTTTGAAAATCCGAGTACATATTCGTGATGAGAGACCTCAAAAACATATAAACACTAAGTTCTATTACATTTCATAGCTATTGCCTGAATCGGTGCACTATAAAAAAAATTAATTAATTTTTTCTCAAATTAGCGCCATTTTGAAGCCGCCATTTTGTTTTTTTTGTTTCCGCTATTGCATATTTTGAAAGTTTAATAAGTTTGTGCCAATATGTGACACTTGTATTCATTTAATAAAAATGTTTTCAGTAAGAAATAATTATTTAAAAAAAAAATTTCATTTTTTTCGCAATTTGGTGCACAAAATTCGCCATATTTAATTTTCTATGCGATAAATTTAAAATCTGAGCATGGAATCTTGTAGAGCGACCCCGAAAACATAAAGAAACGCTTTAGTTATTTTTAGGGAGCATGTTTAATATATAAAATTATATCTTAAATTAAACACAAAATTTCAAAGGTTTCAGGCGTTAATGGGTTTTACAGTGTATGTTCATATTCTTGAATTTTATTAAAATAAACATATGTCACATTTAATTTCTTATAACAAACAACAATTATTAAAACTATCAGTGGAAATTTCTCTCTTTAAGATAAAGAATTAAATGCATTTGCACAAATATTAGGTGAAATTAAGATTACAAAATGTTTATAAACTTGTTTATAATCGAATTAAAATATTAACATACTAATAAAACTAAACTTTCTGTCTAAGATTCACCAATTATAAATATAATTTATGGACTTATACATTATTAATAAAACACAATCAACTTTTTCAGCCTCGCCAGACTTACAGACAGCTGTTAGCGTACCTTATTAGAAGTTAATTTCATCTAACTTTTTATTAATACCATTGGATCTGAAATTAAGTCCGGTGTATTACAAATAAATTACAAACTGAGTTTTATTTAAGTAAGAGTACAACTAACTTTAATTTTCAGTTAGTTTTTATGATTAAATAAAGTTGATGGCTTAAGATAAGTCAAAAATTAAAACTAGCCACCATTAAATTTAAGACTTTGTTTTTACTGTGTAATTTGGAATTAAAATAAATATAAGGGGAGAGTTGTCAGGGTTGGGCAGTGTTTAGGGTTGAGCCACCGCGTTTATTTCGTTTTATCGCACTAGCGCCATCTATCTTTTTACGAAAATTCTTGCTACTAATTGTCAGCCATCTTTTCATATGAGTCGCAGTTAAGTATACGAACCTATACTTTTACTGTCATATACCACTTTGTGATATAGGCTCAGCAAAAACTTTTTTGTGGTGTCAAAAAAGAGAACTAAATGTAGAAGAAATGTGCCAAAGACAAAGTAAGTTTACAAAAATTGTTCATTAAGATGATATGTGAAAATGTGTAAAGTAATTTGGTGTTTGTGTCACGCGTTTGTGTTCTGTGCGATATGACGCAAAACGTCGCGTGTGTCAGTATTGAGCCATGAGCGGTTGTTAGAGTTGAGCCACCCTAAATTTTGCAATTACAAAGCGTACTTGCAGCAGAAATTCATTTTTTCACTTAAAGAGGTGTTAAAAACTACATTCCCATTGGAAAGAGAGGAAAAAATTTTTTTGATAACCTTTTTTCATTTTTTCAATTTTGGATTTCGTTTATGAGGAATAAATGATCTAAAGTTATATGAAAATGCATAATATGGTTATAACTCTGAATCTTTTGGTCAAATTTTTTTACAATATTCAGCAAAAACATTGCATTTGAGTTGATCTTTCCAACAATATGCGCAAAATCGCGAAATTCGTTCTAAAGGGTAAGTTATGAAGAAAAGTCAAAACTATGCCCAATTCTAACAACACTTCCCTATAAAAATAAATCATAAAAGTTTAAAATAATGTTAATTTTGTATTTAAATTGTATATTTTGTTTTATAAAAATAGTCTTAATTGTATTAATTAAAATTATTTAATTATTTAATTAAAATAAGCTACAACAAATAAAGATATAATAAAATTTATATTAATAAATAGATAAAAATTAGTAGATATTATTATGAAAAATTAGAATAAATAAAAATTCATTATTTAAAGAATTATTTAAATAAAGAGAAATAAAATAGATTCATAGAGAAAAGTGATTGACAGCTAAACAATGGCATTGTTCTTGGGAAACGTTAGATACGTTGGAGACCAGAGAGAGAAAAAATATATATCTGTCTTTAAGTGTGAAATATTATTGGCGAAAAGAAAAAGACGTTTTCCGAAAAGTGAAAAGTGGGATAGAATTGTCGGTAAGAAATGCATGGCAAAAATGAGCATCATTAAAGGGTAAGGGTAAGCGTCTAAATCTAGTCAATCAAAGGGAAGAAGCTCACTTACACTATTTCAATAATTTGAATTTACACTAAAATTGTGAATTGGGGGGTTGATCACGACTATATAAACCCTGAAAGTGATAGCGTCGCTCTTTCAATTAGAAAGAAACTTACAATGGTAATACACTTATATTAATATCCAGGGGATATTGAGAAATCTTTGTTCTACCTGTATGAAGCAAACACTAAACACATCGTTTTTACTGTAAATAAAAAATAATTATTAGGTAATTATTAAATCAATAATTGTACAAAAATATTTTCTACAAAGTCAAGCCATGGTAAAAGTGCTGAGGGGCTATTGAGAAATCTTTGTTCCACCTCAATCTGAATCCTTAAATGGTATAAAAAGCAAATCGTAAGTTTATCAAATATTCTTATGAGCCGTGTTCATATAGCAATAGACTATATCAATGTGGGAATTTGAAAGATTTGATAAATATTGAACATAACACTCCAAAATCATTATTTATAATAGGAAATAATTAATTCACTTGAATTAATTATTTAGTTAAATTTTCAGAGAAATAAATAGATTTCTGTAGCTGAATTTAACAAAACTTGAGCATTTTTCAATATTAGTAAATTATAATATTTAAAATAAATCAAGATTTGAAAAATTCACGTTATTGAAGAATATTTATTTGGTTAGGAAATAGTTAATTTAGGGAATAGGGAAAGCTTGACCTTGTGATTGTAGGCAGGATTTGTGAAGATTAAAAGTTAAATTTTATTTAAATTTTCTTTATAGAATCGATATAAAGGGCTATTTGAAGCGGTTCAATTTTATCTTAATTAAGCGAAAGAGGCAAGTATTCCAAGATGAATGCAACTTATTATTTATTTTATTTTATTAAGTCAATTCATATAGAAAATAGTAACCGAACTTACTAAATTATTTTATTTATAATAAACTATATCATAAGAAAAGATTTCTTTATAGTTAAAATTGTGTTGATTATTGTGATTTAACTTTAATTTATTAATTTATTATTTTATAATTATCCTACGAAATAAAGATAAAAAAATTATATTTTTTAGTAGTGGATAAAATAGAAAAGAACAAAACCTGAATTACCGAATAATTATTGGAGCAGATTCCTCTAATTTGGTTAAAAAGCGACAAATTTTCTCAAAAATAAAATATTATATTCATTTAAAGAGAAATTTAGATTACATGATATCATTCATTAAATTTATTACTATATGTTGACAAAATAAGATCTTATCAGTTGATATAGTTTGACGCGTGCCTCATTGTTAGAGGATCTTTAAAGGGAAAACAATGTCCTTTTGAATTCAACAATAACATTTTTTCTATTATATCATTTGGATTTCTGAAATATACTTGTCTACATTTCAATTTAATAAAATTTCAACAATTTGAAAATTTTTTAATTAAATATAATAATTTAAATAAAAATTTTTCAAAAAAGTAACTAATTTAGAACTTTTTAATTAAAATTTTTTATTTATTAAAATCCAAATTTAAACAAAAAATTTTTTCAAAACTATTTTTTTGCACTTTGAACTTTTTTTTTGAATTATGAACTCCAAGTAAACTTGAGTTTTGTCTAAAACATTTTTTAATGTTTTAAATAATTAATTGTAATTTAATTTCCAATTCTCGTAAAATTACCCTAAAAATTTTTTTTCTATTAGGGGAGACCGGGACGTAATGGCTAACTTTTCACTCTTTGTTGTTTTACTTGGACATTTTTGTTCTAATTAAATGTTTATCTTCCAGAAAAGTTACTCTGGTATCTCAGCTTTCTTTAAAAACGTCCCGATATGACTCTTACTTTTTATTCTACAACAGTTTTTCTGGAGCAATGCAGAGCTCTCTAAAACGCCTCGAACCGGGGCATATTGGATAACTCCCGGGGCATAATGAATAATGATTGCTAATTATTATTTACAGTTTCCAATCTTATTGTATATTGTAAATTAAGGTACCTGGATATTCCGTGTATGCTATTTTTATT